GGTCGCGCACGTTGCGCGACGCTTCTGTTCTCGGCCGCCGAGGGCGCAGTCCATGGCGCAGCCGATGGGAGGCGGTTCTGCTCTCGGCCGCCGAGGGCGCAGCCCATGGCGCAGCCGATGGGAGACGCTTCTGTTCTCGGCCGCCGAGGGCGCAACCCATGCCGCAACCGATAGAAGACGGTTTTACTGTCGACCGCAGAAGGCACAACCGATGGCGAAACCGATAGGAGACGGTTGCATTCTCGGCCGCCAAGGGCGCAGCCTATCGCGCACCCCATAGGAGACGGTCTTATTCTCGGCAACCGAGGGCGCAAGCCATGGCGCAACCGATAGGAGACGGTGATATTCTCGGCCGCCGAGGGCGCAACCTATGGCGCAACCGATAGGAGACGGTGTTATTCTCGGCCGCCGAGGGCGCAGTGTTATTCTTGGCCGCCGAGGGCGCAACTTATGGCGCAACCTATGGCGCAACCTAGGTGCCAGGAGAAGGAGGAGGAGCAGGAGGAGGAAGAGGAGAAACGAGGACGAGGTCTCAGACGAGGACGACGAGGAGCTGGAGCAGGAGGAAGACGAGGAGGATGAGGAGGACGAGGAGGGGGACGACGACGACGACGATCAGGATGGGGAGGAGGACGGGGAGGAATACGAGTAGACGAAGTGTGAGCATACGAATGCGTGCGGGGCTACGCCTGATTTATGCTCGCCGCTTGGGCTGGCGGTGGGCCCAAGCGGCGAGCTGTCTTGTGGTTCACCTGATGTGCGTGTTTGTGTGTGTGTCATTATGCCTACTCGTGGCATTTCAAAGGGCGTTGTGACGGAGGCCAATCCAATCCTAGAATTCGCGCACAGGTGTCTCACGCAGCAAATCTGATCTGGCTGGTAAAAAACGGCCAGCCCAGCAGCATTACGTTAAAGCAATCAAGAACCATCTTCCCTCGTGCCATTGATGGCTCGCCAGATCGCATAGTCAACCTAACAGAAGCACGATTACCTCGTGGTTGGCGTGCGCGTGCAAGATGAGCGAAAGGGAGTGTGCAGCCACTGCGTCTGAATCATCAACGTCATCGTCAAGCATCCTCCCGACATCACGCCTGCGCTGTGCAGCCCGTCTCCTTGATGTTCTCCGACGACCCAGAATTGCTAGCGCTCGAGATCAAGCGGGGCATCTTGTGCTGCATCCTGGGCTACACCCCGCGAGTGCCACCACATCATCGTCACGGGCACGCAATGTGACGCTGCATGTGGCGCTGCATGTCAGAAGAACCCCACTCCCCGTGGTAAGCACTGTTTGGAGGTCATGCAACGATACTCAAGATAGCAGACACTAACACCCGCAAGCCTGACGCTCCGATGGTGTGCACGTGTAGAGAAACGTAAGATACGTGTTTTGGATACAGAGCAGCACGTTGAACTGGATCAGACCGCACAGCAAAATACATCTCACTCCGGCGAGATATGATGCCAAGCATGAGATGGGTCCGAAAGGGATGTAGAATATGGCACGTTTATTGACGCTTCGCCAATTCGCCTCGGTCTGCATGACACACTCTCCCCGAGGCATACTGAGAAAACCACACAAACCCCAGAATCCCTGCGGGCACTGATGCGAGCGAGTTCGCTCCTAGGACGACCAACTCGAACTCAGACGAAAAAGACGCCCCGCAAGCTCATACGACGTCTCAGTAAAGACGCCCCCGCCCAACCCATGCACAGCCCAAACGCGACCCCATGATTGATCCTTGCTGTCCAAACTACACGATCCAGCCTCCTGCCGATTACCGATTAAGCCACCGGTAGGACGTGCCCAGACCACCGAGGGACTCGAAGCAATACCATGACTACGTATGACAACACCTTGGGAAACGGATTCCGAACCGCGTCGCGTGTACGTGGGCGTGGAGGTGGGCCGCCCGCGTTATTCCCAAAAGCATATGCGTCTGGGGGGAGGCACCCCTCGGGAAGCGCGGTGCCAGTAGTGGTGCGTGTGCGAGGCCTCTTCCAGCCTCGGGCCTGAGCAACTATGTATATTTTGTATGCGCAGGCTTCGCCTGCCCACCCACTGAGTTGGGCGTTCCCCCTGCAACCCCACCACCTCCAACCCCTATTGAATCCACGATAGCGCGTGCCCCATACTATCACTCGCTACGGTGGCCTTGCCTGGCCGGCGGAGGAACAAAAGCGCGCGTGTGTGTGTGTGTGAGCGCGTGAGTGGTGTGGTGTGGTGTGGTGTGTTGTGTTGTGCTGTGTTGTGTTATGGTGTGTTGGGCTGTGCTGTGCTGTGTTGTGCTGTGCTGTGCGATGCCGTGCTGTGCTATGTGCGTGTTGCGTTGTCGTGTCTTGTGTTGTGTCGTGATGCGATGTGCTGTGTTGTGTTGTGTTGTGTTTGCGTGCGAGCGTATGTGTGTGTGTGTCTGCGTCTGTGTGTGCGTGCGTGCGTGAGTGCGTGCGTGTTGTATATTTGTGCGTCTGCGTCTGCGCCTGCGTCTGCGTCTGCGTCTGCGTGCGTGTGTGCTTGTGCGTGTGCGTACGGCTATGATGTGGTGTGCGTATGAGTATGTGCAGGTGTATGTGTATACGTAAGCGCATGTGTATGTGTATGCGTGTAGGGAGGGGCGTGGCTAGAGGGATTTAAGATGGCCTTGCGACGAACGTCGCCTGCTCGTGCTTGCCCCCCCAGTGGCCTCAGGCACGTGCCGAGACCAAGGCCGAGAGTGTATGTACATGTGCATGTATGTCTGTGAGTCTGTACGCATGTGTGTCTGTGCGTCTGTGTCTGTTGTTCAATGTCTCTGTACGTCTGTGTGTCTGTGTGTCTGTGTGTCTGTGCGTGTGCGGGCGTGCGCGTGTGCGTGTGGGTATGAGTGCGTGAGTACGCGTGCGTGTGAGTGTCCGACCTTTCTCCACCTCGTCACTGCACGCGGGGCCGCGATCGCCCAAAGTGTGTGTGAGTGTGTGTGTGTGTGACTGTGCGTCTGGGTGTGTGCAGGCGTGGGCGTGGCCATGGGCGTGGGTGTGTCTGTGTGCTTGTGTGTGCGGGTGTGTGTACGTCTGTGTCCAGTCGATCCACTATGGTCGCGCCTCTGAGGGCCTGGCCGCGAGCGCTTGCTCGGTGCCAACTGCTCGACTTGCTCCGCCTCGCCGCCACGAGCGAGGCCGCGACCGCCAAAAGGTAAATGGTTGCGGTTGTATGTGTTTGTGTCTGTGCCTGTCACTAATAGCCACAAGCGCACACACGAGCACAAACATAATGTTTGTGCTTGTGCGTGCGCTTGTGTGGTGTGTGGTGGCCCTTGTGTGCTCATGATTGGGTGTGTTAGTGGCTGTGCTTGTGGTTGTGCTTGTGCTTGTGACTGTGTGTTTATGTTTGTGTTTGTATGTGTGTTCGTGTGTTTGTCCTTGTGGTTGTGTTTGTGTTTGCGTGCTGTGGTTGTGTGTGTGGTTATGTATGTGGTTGTGTGTTTGTGTGTCTGCCTGAACGTTGCGAGGCGTGTTCGCAGTTGGGCTTGTCGTTGTGGTTGCGTGTGTACGATAATGTGTGGGTGTGTGCGTGTGCTCGTGGTTGTGTTCGTGCGTGCGTGCTGTGCTTGTGTTTGTGTATGTGTGCGCATGTGGTTGCGGCTGTGTGTGGTGTTTGTGTGCATGATTGCGTGTGGATGTGGGCGTGTGTTTGCTTGTGGTTGTTTATGTGGTTGTGACTGCGTGTGTGTGTGTGTGTAGGAGTGTGTGTGGTTGTGATTGTGATTGTGTGTGTGCGTGTGTGTGCGTGTGATTGTGCTTGTGCTTGTGCGCGTTTTTGTGCTTAGATGTGTGCGTGTGTTTGTGGCTGCGCCTGTGCTTCTGTTCGGGATTGTGTTGTGCGTGTGTTTGCGCGTGAGCTGGTGGCTATGTCCGTGTGTTTGTGGGTAGTCGTGCTCGTGTCTGTGTTTATGGTCGTGGTTATGCTCGTGGTTGTGATTGTGTGTGCGTGGTTGTGAGTGGTTGTGTTTGTGCCTGTGATTGTGTTTGTGCCAGTGCTTGTGTGTGGTGTTGTGCTTGTGTTTGTGATGGTGCCTGAGGTTGTCTAGGTGCTTGTGTTTTCGCTTGTGCGTGCTTGTGGTGGTGCGTTCGTTCGTGTAGGTGTTTGCGCATTGTATATGGGGTTGTGGTTTGGGTGCGGTTGTACTTGTGTTTGTAGTTGTGTGCGGTGTGCGTATGTTTGGGTGTGGTTGTGTGTGTGGTTGTGCTTGTGTGTGCAGTTGTGGTTGTGTTGTAGTTGTGTGTGCGGTTGGACTCATGTGTGTGGTTGTGGTTGTGCATGGTTGTGTGCGTAGCTGTGATCGTGCTTGCCCCTGTGATTGCGTTTGTGTGTAGTTGCGTTCGTGCTCGTAGTTGTGGTTGTGGTTTGGTTTGTGGTTGTGTGTGCGTGTGCTTGTTTGTGGTTGTGCGTGTGTGTGGTTGCGTGTGTGGTTGTGCTTGTGTGTGTGGTTGCTCGTGTGCGTGTGGCTGTGCTTGTGCCTGTGCTTGGGCGTGCGCTTGTGTTATGTTTGCATGTGCGAGTTTGCTTGTGGCTGTGCGTGTGCGTGTGCTAGTGATTGTGGTTGTGATTGTGCGCTTGTGTATGAGTGAACTGGTGTTTGTGCGTTTGTGCTTGTGCTTGTGTTTGTGTTTGCGTTTGTGGTTGAACGTGTGGTGCGGTTGTGCGTGTGTTTCTGGTAGTGCTGGTGCATGTGATTGTGGTTGTGCTTGTGTTCGTGTTTGTGTACACTAGTCAGTGTGTGGTTATGGTTATGCATGCGTTTATGGTTGCGGTTGCGTATGTAGTCACGTGCGTGCTTGTGTTTGTGGTTGTGCGCGCGTGTGTGTGTGTGTTCGTGTGTTCGTGTGTTGCGTGGTTGCGTGTGTTTGCGTGAGTTTGTGTGTGCATGTGCGCGTGTGGTTGTGTGCGTGTGGTTGCGTTTGTGGTTCTATGTGCGCTTGTGTGTGTGACTGTGGTTGTGTGTGTATTGATGTGTGGTTGTGCGTGTGTGTGTACTTGTGCGGGTGCCTGTGCTTACGAGTAGTGTTTGTGTCTGTGCGCATGCCTGCGCTGGTGCCTGTGGTTGCGGTTGCGCATGTGGTTGCGGTTGTGTGTGTGTTTGCGGTTGCGTTTGTGTGATTGTGGTCATGCTTGCGCGTGTGCGTGTGTTAGTATGTGTGCGGCTGTGTTTGTGTTTATGTTTGTGGTTGCGCTTGTTATCGTGTTTGTGAATATGCTTGTGGTAGTTTGTGTTTGTAGCTGCTCTTGTGTCCGTGGTTGTGGTTGCGCTGGTAATTGTGGTTGTGGCTGTGCTTGTGTGTGCGGCTGTGACTGTGCGTGTGTTTGTGTTTGTGTTTGTGGTTGCGTGTGTGCTTATGTGTGTGGTTGTGGTTGTGCTTGTGCGCGCACTTGTGTCTGCGCGTGCTCGCGTGTGTGGCTGCTCCTATGATTGTGGCTTTTGGTTGTGCATGTGCTTATTGTTGTGATTGTGTATGCGATTGTGTTCGTGTGTGTGTGTTTGTGGTTGTGGTTCGGCCTGTGCTTGTGGCTGTGATTGTGTTTGTGTTTGCGGTTGTGCTTGCCCGCGTGGTTGTGGTTGCGCTTGTGTTTACGTATGTGCTTGCGTTCGTGCGCGTGCTTGTGTTAATTTGTAGTTGTGGTTGCGTTTGTGCCTGCGTTCGCTGTTGCGCCTGGGTGCATGTGTGTGTTTGTTTTGTTGCGCGTGTGCTTGTGTTCGTGCGTGTGGCTGTGGTTGTGTTTGTACGTGCGTGTGTTTCGTTGTGTGATTATGTGTGATGGTGTTTGTGGTTGCGTGTGTTTGTAGTTGTGGCTGTGCTTGTGTCTGTGGTCGCGCTTGTATGCTTGCGCGTGCCTCTGTGTGTCTGGTTATGTGTGCTTTGTGTGTGGTGCTCGCACGAAATGCTATAACAACTAAGGCGCCAATTTGATCAATCGCGCTGCAACACGGAATCTGGTTCGCGCAGAATCGAATAGAACTGAAAAATTGAGCACAAGCGTGCTTCATGCATGTTCGGGCGCTTTGATCCGGATAGAATTAAGATTCTGCGCGCGGCCACTCCTACCTGCCAGCGTGATTGAACAAAACGGTGCCTTCATGAACGCATACAATGCGCAATTCGGCATGTCCATAAACAAGCAGCGCATATGTGTATACACTGGATTA